CCCATTATCGTTTAGGCTTTTATAACTCTTAATGACCCTTTTATCAGAGCAGCAATAACCAGTAAATCCTCTTTAGCATTTATTGCCCTGTCTCTAATAAAAGGACCAATTTATAACAGCTCATGAATGCTGGAGATTAATTTTCTAACTACTTCTTCAAATCTCACTACAAAAATGTGTGCTCTGATGAAGGCTCTGTTTCTGTGGTTCGCTCAGCATCAGCCCTAAATTAAATTCACCAACAACATGCAATAAACTTTGTGTACTGCATGCTGTATGGCAGAGAGAAATGAGAAACCAGAAATACAAAATGCCTTCTCTGTAGGGAGGTGTTCCTTTCCCTGCCCATCTCCTGCCAGCATCAGTTTTGTCCTTAGCTTCCAGGAGGAGTTTCAGGCCTGAGCACAATCAGCAGGCGCTCTGGGGACAGGGGACGCTACTTTGTCAACAGCCATCACAAAAAGTACAGGTGGACCTTGTACATCTGATGTGGTGCACTCAGCAGTCAGATAACTAAAACCAGTTTGCTGATTTGTCTGAAAATGGTGGAAAGAAACAGGCACCACCAGGGGAGGCTTTATCCCATCCTACAAGAGGTGCCTGGGAGAGACAGCTCAAAGGTGCGCAGTCCCAGCTGCCCTCCTCTTGATGCCTCTGGCTGGCAACAGTCATCTAACTTCAAAACACCTAAAATTAGATGTCACTAATCGCTACGCCTTCATTTGCAGTGATGACAACATAACTTGGAAGCTATCTCTGTTATTACGAACAGAAACAAAACTCCAAAGATAACTTGTTTACTCATTTTTGTAATTTTTGCCCAACATGCAGTAATGTCCTGCTTTCCCTGTAGGACATTCAATAGATTGTCAGTAGTACCTTTGGAAGGTGTGTTTTATCTTGGTTTATCTACAGGTAGAACACATGCAGCCACAGGACTCTGCAGAGAAACTCTCCCCTGCACTTCCAAACCCCATCAATTAGAACACAACAAAATAGTCCTTAGGAATCATTTCAAAGTGAGCTGGTAATGAAGGCAGCCTAAGGATTCTCTGTGCTCCTGGCAGCAGTTTCAGTTTTGCTAACTCTGTCTCTAGACGCCAGACTTGGATTTGATTCAAAGCCCAGCACTGGAAAGACTTGAGCAGATTTTGGACAGGGATATAGATATTTCTATGGGGTGAATGAAGCACTGTACAAAGATGTCCAGTGCTAAGTGAGCCATTACCTAGGCTGGAGGCTGATGTTGCTTGTGCTGGTTAGACACCGTATCCCAGCTAAGTAGCTTTGATGAGAAACTGTCTATTTTGACCTGGGCAGAGAAGCTCCATTAGGGCAGCAGTTTTTCCCTCAACACAAGCTAGCCCAAGCACCTCTGTGCCATGTGGAGCCTGTTCAGTGCTGTTATAGCAGGGTCTGTGCCACAAGGACCAGACGTGCTCAGCTCATCCTATTTCCCATCTTCTCTGTTGCCCACTTATTGTTCTACTGAGGTCTACTGCCAGGTCCTCCCATTTTTCTCTTTGCTCTGGCTGACCCTCTTCTCCTCTGCAGAACTACAAACCAAACAGCTCCCAAAAGAACTTTTCATTAATATAATTTATTAGCTGAATTGTTCCTCTGACCTATTTCTTGTTCAACTAGCATATCTCCCCATCCACTCAATATAATTTGCACAGCACCTGAACTCTGCTGCTGGGGTTTAAATGGCCTGACATATATCACTGAGTCAGAGGATATTAAGAGAAAGGTGAGAGGATTATTGGCACCCTGCCACTGGGATCAGATTGGATTTCTTGTCCAACCACTGAAACGAGGTTGTATAAAGAGGTTTTACACAGGCTTGGTTTAGTCCTTACTCAAAGCTTGACCACTTGAAAACAACATGGGACTTTCACTAAGGATGGGGGACGTCGACTTGTAAGGAAGCCTTTCTTGTATACATTGTCCTGTTGATTTTTGGAAGGAGGTGATCCACCTAAGGCTCTGCAGGTGGGGCTGGCCAGGAATGCTATGCTGGAGCTCTCTGGAGCTGTAGTTGCATCAACACTTTTCTCCTGCCTGGCTGCAATGGTCCATTGCAAAAGCCATTACCAGCAGCCTGGCCTTGCCTGTCAGTCTGCACATGGTCCCAGGTACTCCCATTGCTATGATTTCTTATTTTCCATCACGGTTCTCTCGCCAATGATCCTCTTGTTTCTGACTTTAAGGAAGTACCAAACACTGGGCTGTAGGTTTTCACTGGTGATTAATTTTGTTGTATAATCTTCTCCCCCTTTTGAATTATAGAACGTCAAAGGTATAAACACAGCCATTGTCCTTTCCAGAAAACATCCATTCTTTTTGTTCTTTTTCCCGGGAAAAAAAGGCCTGCTGATGTCATCGGTCTTGCTCAGGATCTTTGTAATTGGCCCCTTTCTGTTTGGCTCCTCCTTCCCTCCCCTCATCTCTCATCCCCTACTCCATACTGAGAGGTAACCAGGGAAACCAGGAACCATGGCAACCCAAACCAGGATAATTTTTCTCTGAAGAAAAAAAATATAAGCATGCAAAATCCCTTTAATGTTTATACTAGGCAACTGGGTCTGAATCTTCTGTTTCCCTCCTCTTTGGCGTGAGGAAGCCATGGGCCTGCCTCCTCTTGCTGGGGCTGCCCTTGCCATGAACCCTGGAGGTGAAGCTTTACCCAGCCAAAACCCTCGGCTTCCCATGCCCCCACAAAGCCACTGTGGCAGCCCACCACACTCAATTTGCACCAGTCCTGACCCACCAAGAGCAGTCAGACGCACTAAGGCAGTGCACCCCAGGTTACAGGGAGCATCTGTCCCCATCTCTGCATGCTCCTTTTGTTTTGAATGTTTCGAATACATTTCTCAACAGGACACAGGGAAGTGTTTCTTTCACTAACTGGAGAAGGAGAGCTTGGGCCCAGAAGGTTTAGGGTCTGGTTTTCAAAGGATGAGCCAACTAGGCACTTCTCTGTAGCTCTGGACGTACCTTGTCACAAAATGAGTCTGTGATGGAGGATAGAAAAGTGGGTCTTCCCACACCCACTGAATCGGTCACCCCCAGATTCCAAACTGTTTGGATGAGAGGCAAGGATTCCACCCTGCCAGGCAAGTCCAAGAACATGGAATTCCAGAGCACAGAATAAACATTTTTGTTACTATGCAGTATAATGACAGTATTGGAGTGGTGCTGTCATCACTGCTTCTCCAAAATATGGGAAAGAAGGGCAGCCAGCTGTAGAGGGGGACACACGATGGCTCTGTTCTCTCTCTCTGCTTTTCCCTCAAAATGGGGCACAGGGTGACACTGCCTCACTGGTGCTCAGTGCCCAACAGCAGGGTTGTGCTCAGGAATAGGAAGCATCACCCTTGGGCAAAGCTCTCAGGGCTCAGCCCCTGCTCCCTATCCCTCACCCTTCAGCCAGGCCAGTCTCCTCAGGGGTTGGTGGTAAGATCCCAGTCCCTTGGAAACCCCAAGGCCACTCCTTCTGCAAAGGGTTACTGTAGGGACCACTGGGGCTCCCTTCCCAACAGGCTACTGCAAGTACTGTTCTTGGTGGGGTACAAGAGGTTTTGGAATCAGCTGTGGAAACTTCAGGCAGCATGCCCAGCACTGCTCAGAGGCTAAGTCAGCAAAGAAATAACTAGCAAGTTTTGCTACTCTCGAAGTGTACAAGAGACAAACTGCTTGACTTCTAGCTTATTTCCAAAATAGAATGCTGACTGTAAGTTGCCTTCTTTAGGAGAAAAATGATGAAAGAAGTAATAAATTGTACACATTTATTTTTGAGTTTGCAGATGAGGGAATGTCAAGCAGTGGTTGGGATGAAAACAAACAAACCCTGGCAAGCAGCTATTTTTATAGAATAGTTTTGTGTTGAAATTTCTATAAGTTGGCAACAGAGTCATCATGAAACCTTTAATCCGGATAAGACTATGCCAAAATCTTCAGGAAACATCTTGCATGTTAATTTTTTTACTTACAAAACAGGGGAGAGGGGGGGAAACGAAGACTTAGGGAAACATTTGCAGACCTACAGTGTCTGCACTATAAGGCACCAAATGCTTTTTATTCTGTGGACATAAATGGGACTTTTCCCAAACCTGTCACTTGCTAATTCAAATCTGGGGTAGCTCCAAGTCAGTTCTTGCAGCAGATTTGCTTGCAGCTGGGGGAGGGAGATGTCACCAGGCCGAGTAAGCAAAGTTCACGAAGCCGAAGGACCAGTCTGGGATATCTCACCTTTAAGGTCAATGAGCCTGTTGAGAAAAGACTGGCTCTCCAGTGCAGTTGTTTTAAAGAGACATTGTCAAAACTCTGGTGATTATGTTGTCCCTGCCTCCTGCTTCCCGGCCAGCGCCCAAACAAGGTCTGTGCAGGAGAAACACTGAGCCAAGAGGACATCTGTTGCGTCCACAACTGCAGCTCCAGGCCCAGTCCTCTGGGAAGTGGCTTCTTTATCGATGTTTGCTGTTTGTGCTTGATGTCTGGGAAATTTCTGGACTTTCTTAGACTTCACTGTATGCCATAAAAGCATTGCGGTGTGCATGCATGCGTCTGTCCCTAAAATCTGTACTCTGAGGAAAATATTTCAGATTGGCTCATAAAGCAAAATTATTTTGTGCTATTAGAGCCCTTGCCATTGCCCCAGATAGTTTCTGGCCAATAAGACCTGTCAAAATTCTGTTTCTTAGAGTTGTTCTGTTGAAATCTGTCATCTGTTGGAATCTGCTGGCAGAGGGGAGGAAAGGGTTACCTACTATGTGAGAACGGAAATTTAAGACGGGTGCTTTATAACTGGCTCTGTGATGTGAACATTAGATAGTAATGTCTCAAAAGTAAACTATTTAAGCAGCTCCAGTTTCTATGCTAAATTGACTCTAGTGTGTTTGTAACCAAAGGGACAGCTGCTTCCTGAAGAGCCTCTCCTAACACTTATAAGGATTAACTGGTTTTGTGTTGAGATTATTGAGATCAACTTGATGCACTTATTTTATTCTGATTTGTTTTCTCATTTTATTTATTGTTAATAGCTTCACTTTAGAAGCATCTTTTCCTTGATTTTACTGCCTTTCTTTGAACTCAATTTCTTTTAGTAAATAGGGCCAGAGGGGTGTCAGAAATGGATGCCATCTAAAAACTTGACCAACTCCTCCAAATTTGCCTATAGAACCTATCGATCTTGTTCAAAAGATTCATAGTGAATTTTTAATTTTTCACATTTTCATGCACTTCTGCTGCTACAAGTAGTTGAGCACTGAGGGAAGTTTTCAAAGCAGTGTGTGAATAGCACACATTAAGTCATCTGAGTATTTCAGAGGTTTTTTGCAGAGGTCATACCTGTCCAGAGCAGCAAGTGGGTCTCCTCTGAAGTGCTCTCAAAGGACTCCACATGTTCATTCTTATAAGGCACATGCCTTATTTACATTAAAGGCATGGCTGCACCATGAGGTTACATTTAAAACCCATCAGCTGCTAATTAGCTTTTGTGCCCATTGCATACTCGTGGAGCCAGATAGATGAAAGACATATGCCAAGCACTTTGGAGGCTGAGGGAGAGGGAGAGAAAATAGAGCAAAAGCTGTGACAAGACATGAAGAAGGAACATCATTTATAGCCATGTCCAGGATGGGGCAGGGTCAGAAACATTGAGGGAAATAAAAAGTCTGTCTGAAATGACCAGCAGCAACCAGCAACCACCATAACCCTGCCCAGAGTGAAGAGCCTCAGAGAGCAGGTGAGGAAAAAGACAAGGGCAAGACAAGAGCCTTAGGAGGTACCCATGTGTGCCACCAAGGAGCCAAAGAGGGCCCCACTTGAGCCTGGAGCTGGAGTCTTGCAGTATGGCTCCTTTCCAGACAAGGTTCACATGCACGGCACTGGGCTAGCAGTCATCCTGTGTCTTTCTTCTCAGACAAGTCCTTTGACAACATGACTTCCAACCTTCCCAATGGATCCTCAGGTGAATCTTCATAGCTCTCATAGAATGACACCAAGAGATGAACTTATTCTGTGACATGGGACTCAGCTGCCTCTGATGGACTTGTGTTTAAGCATAATATGCATCCTCCTAAATACCTCTGCTTGTTGTCTTCATGATGTCCAAACTTCTTCCTCTGAGGTTGCATTTCCCTTACAATCTCTTTATCCCTTTATAAAATATAATGTAATAATTTCAATTTAATAATAATTCCAAAATATATTCCAACAATTCCAATAATTCCAATTTATTACATTGTAAAATATATTCCAATAATTCCTTGGGCTCCTGATAGTGCTTGCAACTGGGAATAATAAATCTGCATTCTGTTCCTAGGTACAACTGGCTGGGATACATGTCCATCCATTAGATGATGGGTGTAATCATTGTCTGGGTGTTTCTGCCACACAGAGGAGAGGTGTCTATTTCCCACACAGAGGGCTCAAGTGCATACTCCTGATGACGATGAGAAGGAGGAATTAATCCCCTGATGAGAACCCTTGGAGGTTTGATGCTGGAGCTGGAAGGTGTGAGAAATGATAAGACATTGATTAGGTCTCTGAGTCAGCAGCAGACGCACCCTTGCCATGCCACCAACTGGTCTATTAGCTCTCCCACTTGTTTGTTACCTAACTTATCTTCCTGACTCATCCCAAACCCAGCTGACACAGAGATAGGCAAACTACACACCACAGCCCCTTCGGCCGCCTCTGGTACACCTTCTGCTGCCCTGTAACTCCTGTGAGGATTAACAACTTTTCTTTGCCAGACAGGGTAACAAAAAAGTAAAAACATTGTGAGTGTGAGGAGGAGAGGGAATCCTGGAGACAAAAAATGAGCTAAGATTGCCCCTTGGAGAGGAAGAGGGTTTTTTTTAAAGAGATAATTCCCTTTTGTGCACTTCTGGTAAAACTGTGTTATGTTGGCACCATTCCCATATTTCAGTGATGGTGATGGTCTCGCAGCAACCTCTGTAGTAGTAAGGCACAGGTAATATGCAGTACAGTCTTTCATCTCTTTCTGGATATGACAGGGTTCTGGCAATACTTAATTTTTTAGTTTTGTTTGAAGAACAGGTTAACATTTCACAGTGCCAGATTAAAGCCAAAGGACCAGCATGGGAGTCATAGTCACCCCCGTTCTAGAGGTCTGTGATCATCACCATTGCAGCTAGTCTCTGCTCCTCACTGGTTCTGAGCTCATTTGGACCCAAAATAGTGTCCTAAGCTCCTCTGCAATTCCTTTTTAACTAATATGCTTTAAGATTAGTGCAGCAGTCATGGGCATGGAGATACAGAGGAAAAATGGAAAGGGTACAGAACACTTCCGTCTTCTTCCCTGGCATCAGGTATCCTCAAACAGTCCTCGAAAGCTTTGAAGAAATCAAATAATTTTCATCATTCTGTGAATTTGCAAGGGGAAAACAAGAGACATTTTGTGCTGCTGGTTGAGAATAGCACAGGGAGTAGATCTCACCTTTCAGCACATTCTACAGGAGCCCAATGGGAATCCAGCCAGGCTCAAGGGAGCTGCAGAAGGTGATTATATGGGCTTTGATGGGACTTGACAGCAGGCGGAGTTGGGGATGGGCAACTCCTGGTTTGATGGGCATGGTCCCCTCTGCCTTCAGACAAGTGAGTCCATCTCCAGGTTCTGCTGGAGTGGGCTACAACATCCCATAAATGCAGCAGGGTGGCATCTCTGGCCTGGAGATTTGGATTATATTTACTCTGCCTTTTCAATGTTCAGGTTAGTCTTTCTGGTTGTTGTAAAGCTGGAGGCTTTAATTCTTGGTGCAGTGTTCCCACCTCCTTTGTGAAGTCCCAGTAGTCTGTCTGAGAAAGGCATCTGGTCATCTTCAAAATGGTGTCCCAATCTTACAAGGAGCTGTGTGGGTGACCAAGATGTTCTCAGAAGCAAGGAGGGCTGCCAGAGCAGTCACCTCCCGGCTCTAATGAGCAACTGTCAGCATTTTGTACCAGGCATAGCAACTTCCTTCTGACTGTAATTTTTCTTACCTGGGACAGAAATCCACAAGTGTCCTTTCGTGTTTGAATTTTGACAAGGAGATCCTCAGCAGCCTCTGTCTGAGGCAGTTCCCCTTTCCCACCCCTTGTGTGGCCACAGTGTCGATCCAAAGTGCACATGAAAGCTTAGCCTGAGAGTATGTGCTGCTGCTATTGCACATGTGAAAACTGAATTCATTGCAAAGGAGAGAGACTTATGGGGAAAGAGACCCACTTCCAGGTTTGCCCCACACTGCTGCTCTTGGAGGCAGAGACATTCACCAGAGTTGAATCATCTGCAGGAGGTGTACCTGGAAGTCAGAAAACTGTTCTGCTTATCAACTCACAAATGTGGGGATGTGATTTCATGCCACAGGCTCTGCCTGGGCTGGCAACAGTTGGTGCTGGCTGGGCACAGGTGAAATTTCAACTTTACCTGCTAAGGCACATGAAATCTGCTCCATGTTTTATAGCATCTAAAATTTATGGGAAACCTGTTGTTATTCAATGTCATTTCTGCTGCAGTCAGGAGATGCTGAACATCCCTGACTAAACTGCTGGGAGGCTATGGTAGGCATGTGAACCTAGACCCCTGAGTTTTCCATCCTGGACTTTCAAACTTTGCCTTTACTTTTTTTTTGCCCACATTGTTCCACTCTCTCTACAGCTGAAGTGACATGGAAATTCTTATGGATAAATATTCAGGACACTATTTAAATAGGCAGCTATATCTTGCAGATCATATGCTTTGCTATGTTGCAAATGCTGCCTTTGGTACTGTACAGTGTGAATTATGGATATGTGTTGCATATAGTCTGGGATAGGCCCATACTTGTCAATAGATGGCAAGATATAATCAAACTAGACTAGATTCACAGTTCTTCCAATTCCTCAGCAGGGCTTATTTCTTTGTGAAAGCAATATATTTGCACATTTTTCCCAATTACAGGGATATCTGACCTTGCAAGAAAAGCACTTAGATGGCTGTAGCACACCCTATTCGTTATCACTTGCTCAGCTGTATTGGTAAATTAACCAGATGGATCCAAACTATCCTACGGCCTAGTGTGAAGGAATATGCAAAACTCCAAATCCAGATTCCAATCTGTTAGCAAACAACAAGTTTATGTAGTAAAATGCCAAACCTTACCCTTGTCTTCAAAACAGTCTTCCACTTGGATGTTCCAAATCCTGGTCCAAGCTGGGGCTGAGTGCTGAGACACTGAGCAGCACTGTGGTGTTTCCAGAAGCTGCTCATGGAAGCTTCCTCCAGACACTGAACCCACCAGGTGCCAGATGATGCTGAGATCTGCATCTGTTTGGCCAAGTCTTGGTGTAAACCCCTGTGTGGTGGGATGAATTAGGCCCTCAACGGCTACAGAGAGACATTGGAAATAGGAGTTTATATTTACAGAGTACATTTCATCCCAAAGGACCCTAAATCACACTGCACAAACTTTACATAAACAGCAGAACTGAAATGCAGCTGCGTCAGGAATGGAGGGTGGCAGCCAGCTGGCATGTGTTAGCAGGACAAAAATAAGCCACTATTTTTGGCCAAGGACATCAGGGCAAACCCCTCTATTGCAAAAGTGCCTACCAAACTTCAAAGTGCAGTTTTACTCTAAATAGTCATGGTGGATAAATAGATCTTTTGTAGTCAGTTGACTTGTTCCCAGGCACATCTGGGGAATTCACTCACTAAAATAAGGATTTGCTACATTTTATGCCAGCTAAGACTGTAGAACTTCTTCACCCAAGATAGCACATTTCTACTCCAGTCACATTTGCAGAATTGGAAGCCTTTTTTACACAGACCTTACTATTGAGGACACAGAAAAAGCTGCTCTGGCTCTCTCTGCTGAACTTACCCTGAACTGGCACATCTGGAAATTAACATATTCTGTTGTTAGCTAGGCAAATTTGTTAATTAGAAAGACAAATTTTCACAATGCCTATCAAGGTAACTTTTCAGAATACAACTGACCTTTAAATATCAGCGTGGAGAGGCCAGGACATTTAAAGATCTTGCCACAAAGCCCCTCACAGAGCAGGCTGTGCAGCATCTCTCAGGTCTCTGGGCTATCCAAACACTGCACAACACTGAAAGGCATGGTTCCTTACAGTAATGTTGCCTATCAAATGCACAGTATTTTTACAGATACATATTTAGTTTGAGGTCAGGAGGGTATCTATACTTACAGAGTGCACTGGAACTCAGAGAACCCTGAATAACCTCCAGGATAAGTTGGCCTGTGGCAACTGGTGGTTCCCTGTGGGCCTCCTCCCATGCCTCCATGTTGCGTTAAAGCTGAATCCTGCACTCTGGCATTCACCCTCCTGAGCCATCTCATTGCCCTGTTATGCCATTTACCTTTTTGTTAACAATTTTTAAGTGACATTTCTCTCTCAGAAGAAGTGTAGGGAGTCCAAGTAGGACATACACTGCAGAGTCCTGGTAGTAAGGCTTTCATAAAGTTATTTCCACAAGCCTCCAGATTAATTGGAAAGCAGCATTAAAAGCCATTTGGGCTCAGAGTAGGGCTGCAGGGGAGGTGGGCAGCATTTCAGGTGCCCAAAGCACAGTGCCTTCTCTGGGTTCCAAAATTTTTGATTATTTCTGCCTCTGCTGAGGCAGAACATCAGCCTGTCTTTGTAGTAGAGGTGCTCCATTCCTTCCTGGGCCTTTCTCTAGACCCACTCTAATAGGTCCATATCTTTCTTGTACTAAGGCTTCCAGAACTGGACACAGTACTCCAGGTGGTGACACTGTGGGGCAGGGTAGAGGGGGAGAACCGCCCCCCTTGATGCGCTGGCCCTGCCTCCTTTGACACAGGCCAGGATGCAGTCAGCTTTCTGGGCTGTGAGTGCACACTCTTGGCTCATGCCCAGCTTTCTTCCCTGAGAATATTCAAGTCCTCACTATAGGACTGATCTCAATGACTTCTTCCAATCTGTGCTTATATCTGGAATTGCTCTGAACCAGGTCCAGCACTTTGCACTTGGACTTGCTGAATTTCAGGAAGTTCTCATGGGCCACTTCTTGGGTCTGTCCAGGTCCCTATGGAAGTGACCCTGTCCTTTTGTGTCATCTGTACTGCTCAGTTTCAGGTCATCTGCAAACATGATGAAGGTGCACTTGACCTCACTGTCTGTGTCACTGATGAAGATATTGAAGAGCACTGGTCCCAAGATAGGGCCCCGAGGGGCGCAACTCATTGTTGGCCTCCTCCTAGACATAAAGCCATTGATCACAACTCCGGCTGCATTCATTCAGCCAATTCCTTACCCACTGAATGGTACACCCATCAAATCCATGTCTCTTCAATTTGGAGATAAAAAAATCATGTTAGAACATACTGAAGGCCTAACAGAAGGCTACATAACTAATGTCTTCTGGTCTTCTCCTATCAACTCTTGCCATCACTCCAACACAGGCCATTAGATTGGTCAGGCATGATTTGCTCTTAGTAGACATGTGCTGGCTGACACCTCCTTATCTTTTATGTGCTTTAGCAGATCTTCTAGGAGGTTCTGCACCATGGTGTTCCCAGGCTCAGCTGGTCTGTAGCTCCCTGGATCTTCCTTTTTTCCATTTTTAAAAATGGGAGTGATGTCTCCAGTTTTCTGATCACCAAGGGCTTCACCTGACCACCATGACTTTTCAAATATGATGGAGAGTGGCTTAGCAACAACATGGACCAGTTTCTTCAGGACCCTGGGATGCATCTCCTTAGGTCCCATAGACTTGTGGCTGTTCAGCATCATCAAGTGATCCTGAACCACTCTTCACCTACAGAGGGAGGGGCTTCACTCCCCCCACACCCACCCAGAGGATCAGGGATTTGACAAGTGGGAAGTCTGACTGTCACTGAAAATTGAGACAAAAAACTCATTGACTACCTCAGCCTTCTCCATATCAGTATCACCCTTCTTGCTTATCACAGGGGCTACACTCTCCTTGGCCTTTTCTTTTCTGACCTATGTACTTATGGAATCCCTTCTTGTAATTCCTTATATCTCTTGCCAAGTGCTGTTCCAGCTTTGCCTTGGCTGTCCTGACCCCATTCCTAGACACATGAACTGCGTCCCTGTACTCGCCTCAGGTCACCTGTCTCTGCTTCCACTGGCAGTGCATTTCTTTCTTACTCCTCAGTCTGAGGAGCAAATCCATGTCCGTTTCTGGCCTGCCTTGCTTGATTTCCTACACACTGGAAGAGCACTCTTGCACTCTAAGAAAAGAGGCCTTGAAGAGCTGCCAGCACTGGTCATCACCTCTGTCCTCAAGGACAGTTTCCCAGTGAATCTTATTTGCCAACTCCTTAAAGAGCTGGAAGTTTGCTCTTGCAAAATTCAGGGTTTTGACTTTGCTCCTTTCCAGGCTCACACTCCTTGAAATCACAGATCTCAAGATCTGGGCCTGAGAGGACCTAAGAGGACCTAAGAGTGAAGAAAAGGAGAACAAATAAAGAAACATTTGGTGACCTTACCCGAGCCCCGAGAAATGGGGAAATGTGCAGGACAGGGCTGTGATGTTCTGGGAAGAGCAGAGTCCAGGGAATGCAAGACAGATCTCTTCCTTGTCAAAGAACCAGTGCAAAAACTGTTCATGGAGGTGGATCCACCTTTGATGTTGTGAGCAGATTACAGAGCCACATCACACCATGTCACATGTTCCCAAAATTCCTGGAAAGGAAAGCTGGTCACACACACTGGAAGACTCTCCACAGCATGCCAGGAGCACTCAGCTCCATATACCAGAATCTCCCTTGTCCTTTATTAAGCCCCTTGCCTTTGCTCTGTTTGCACAGCATTAAAGCACTGCACTTTCCAGAGAGAAAAAACTTTTGTCAAATATTTGTAATTTTAAAGCTGAATTTTACTTTTTTTTAATGCACCAGCATTAGCCAACATGTAATCCAATATATAAAATTGATCATGACCTTAAGTTTTTGGAATGATGCTGCAGGCAGGGAGAGAGGCCCCACAGGCCAGCAGGCAGGCACTCAAACTGATTTTGCACAACTTGAACAGTTTTATACACTCGTGAGCGTACACAGGCACTTTGAAAATCTTACTGAGCAATAACAGAGAGCCTCCCTCTCTTCTCCACTCCCTGCCTCCCAACACAGGACCCTGCAGGGAAATGCACTGTGTATTTCCCCCAAGCAGACTTGAAGCCATGGTAGTATGAAAAATTAATAAAGGAGTACAAAGTGCATTAACAAAGGCTGACATATTTCCCACAGTTAATTGACATCCCCTATTTTATTTAAAATTAATAAAAGCTTTCCAAGCATGCAGAACTTGCACATCACAGCAAAAGAGATGTCTCACACAGCTCATCAGATCATGTCACTGTATTAGTGATACTGCATAACAAAAATCATGACAAATATTCCCAGTATTATGTCAGGCCTGTATCCAAGGTGTTGCTCTCAGCATCAGTGCAGGAGGGCTGTCTGACACATGCTCTGGAAATTGCCACTCTGGTGGTTGAACACAGGCTGCTAAGGCAGCCTTGAAACACCTAAACCCTGGCCTGCAGCTGAGGCCAGTCCCTGCCTCTCTGGTGCAGTGAGGGGAGTGATTGCCCTCAGCTCATGGAGCCTGGCTGGTGTCCCCACACAGCTTGTGGTGATGGGGAACTGCACTGCACTGCTGGCCTGTCACTGCTCCTGCTGTCATTAAATGGATTTTTCTATGGTCCCACCAATGTCTAACTGAGCCACACATAGAGGGTCCTCACAGAACCTTCTAGAAACTAAAGAAGAAACCCTGGAGTGCTAATGACCCTCTTCAGTGGGATGTCAGTCCTCTTGTTTTCAGTAGTAGAGTCAGGTGACAATCTGGTGAATTGTATTCACTGCTAAGACCTCTTTGAGGTTTCCAGAAGGCCTGAAGTAGAGCAGACAACTCCTAGATAAAGTTGTACTGGAAAACTGTGGGGCTGGAGGTATCATCAGTGGCATAGCCCAAGATGGGACTGATCCAGGTAAGCAAGAGTGATCCTGTTCTTGGGTGGTCTGCCCCATTGAGGCCAGGGCTGCACCCAGTTACCTGTGCCTGGTTATAGCTGTTAAGTGCAAGCCTTGGCTCAGGCATAGCAACAGCAAGAGCTGTGCCAGGCCAGTGAAATTAGGGACCCTCACAGGTGACATTAACAACACTCCAAGACCTGGGGATTTCCACATGCTGCCCTGACAACACCTCTCTGGATGCTGATGACTGTGTCCTTTTGAGCAGGCAGTATAATGCAATATTTCTCAGGTAACTGCATGTGGAAAAGTGCCTTTTCACACCTTGAAGCATGCTCTGTGGGCCAGTGGTGGTCCTCTGCATACTCCTCTCCACTCTTCCAAGCTCATGACAAGAAGGGAAGACATAAGAAATGCACTTCTACCAGAAGAGCATCATATTGAACTCCTTCTGCTTCTCCTCTGCATCCTTATACTTGTGGCACTGCTGCAGGGTGAGGAAGATGAAGCTGGGAAAATGGCAGCTAAAATTACATGGAAGAGTTGTGCCTGTCTAGAAAACTTGCAGCTGTCTGACACTGGTATGCCAAGTGTCCCTACCATGATGGCCACCTATGCCCAGCTACTCTGGGGAGAGCTGATTTCTTCATAGTGATTTGTTGGTGACTTGAACATCAATAACACCCAAAAGGTGAATCACAGAGATTTGATGGGTGGAAATTTGTGACTTCTGGCTATGCTCTGTCACCTGCCCCACTGTGTGCCTCTGGAGCTATCCCACACCCAGCTACTCCAGCAGGTACCCTGGTGTACAGCTGAAGCATCCTCACTCTTTCTCTCCAAGCAGAAGCAATGATTTGGGAAGAAGCCCTGTGTTCATTTGGAGGCTGCTCCTGTATGCTAGTTTATGTGAAGCAATTACATTGAGGCACCACATGTTTCAAAGTAAGCTTCTTTGTGTAACCAGCTCTGAAAAGAGAAAAGAGCTTCTCACATCTCAGCTGAGAATTGTACCTGCACTTCTGTGGGAGCTACTAACTCTTTTCATTTAGGCTGTAGTGAATTGGCTCCTTTAAAAAGGTACCAAGCCCCACTTTGATTTTCAGTTTCTAGTCTCCACACAGTGGCTGAATCAAAGTAACTTAAACTGTGGCTTTGATTCCTGTTCCCAGAGCTGGCTTAAGATGTATTTTCATGGGCTTCCTGCTATTTGTTATCATCTGCTTGCTGGCAATTCATACCTGCCTGGCAGAGCTGGTGGACCTGGATGTGTGTGTGTATGTCTGGGCTTTGATGTTCACAGCTTCCCAAGGCTCTATTGAAACACGAGCACTTCCGATCAAGAATAATGGTGAGAGCTGATGAATTAACATATGCCTTGAAATGCTCCCATTCTGCTCTCCAGGATAACATGCTCAGTGTTCTGGTTTAGCAGTATTTACCCATACCCTGATGCAGTTGTTTGCCTCATACTTGGTAATTACCTTGATGAGGCTATTTGGTTGTTTCTGGCAATGATGTAATCTTTGCTTGTACTGCTTGCCTACATAGTTTGGTGTATTGAAGGGTTTTGGAGTGCTTCCTTCAGTGATTTTATTTCACTGGCTCTTTAGAAAAAGCTGTAGCTATTTTCTCATCTAGCTGTGCCCAGAACTTTTGTCTCAGGGAAGAATATGAAGTCATCCGACTTCCTTCCATTATAACAGCTTCTCATTGTACAACTGGAGTTTAGATAGATTTATTAAATAGGCTGGATCTTCATCTGTGTTCATGCACTACTTAGTCTGAAAAGATGACAGGGCAAAAGTTTAAACAAATCTTTAGGCCTCTCTTCAGCCATTTTATTTCCCAGAGGCTTTTTTCCCAGGGTTTTTTGTTGTAGCCCGTGTGTAATGTCTCGTCAATTTAACCAAAGATGCAAGGTTGGCCTGGGATGAATAAACTGGTGTGTCTAAAAGCATCAATATGTCCCATCCCACTCCTCCAGGGTGCAGTCAGGTAAGGCCCCTTCTGCATGATCTGGGTGGTGGAAGGGGGCCTAGGCAGGGATAGGACAGGTTTGGTTAAAACCTGATGCCTGGATAGGGGATAGGAGGGAAATGTGAGCATTTACTATGGTCTGTCTCTGCCAGAGGAGCTCATAGCTGGAGGCACTGTGAAGTGAGTTACTGGAAAGGGTCTAAGGTAAAATTTTTTCCCAGCTCTGTAATTTTTTTGCTACATGGCCTTCATCACATCGGCCATTTATTTACTCAATGCTATTGGTGCAATGTCTATGAATGGATTTAAAACTATCTACCTCCAAACCCCCTTTGAGATCCACGAGTGGGAAGTGATACCAAAAGCCTCACTTTGCTCCTCCTGCCTGAATTTCAGCACTTAAAAAATCCGAGACAGAGAGCGTTCCCTTCCTCTCCTGCTATCCCACAATCATGTGGCTTGGGCATAATGTAGGGGTGTGGGAGAGGAAGGGTTTGAAATCCCTGGGGCTGTGGAGCAGCTGTGCTGACTGACAAAGTCTGACAACCCTTGCTGCTATGTTGGAGGAGTCCCCTCCTCAGGTGTTTACTCAGAGCTTGTACTGTTGTCATCATCCTGCTGTGAGCTGGCAGAAACAAGCCTCCCTGTGCCCCAGGGCAGAAGTCCAGTGTCCTCCCACGGGTGGCTGATGAAGGCAGGTGTGTGGGAAGGTTTGTGGGGTTTTTTGCACAAAACCAGCTGAGATGAGCACCCAGAGCAATGGCCACCAGCTCTGCTGGGAGAGACAGACCTCTGGCAAGGGGCTGGGAACAGAGACCTTGGAACCTGTGAAACCACACCTTGAACTGGCTCTGGGAATGAAAATCAAAGCCATGATATAAGTTCAATTGATGCAGCTTCTGTGTTTAGCTGAGCCCTCTAATCTTTGAATTCCAAAGGCCTGGAGGGATAGTTATGTTAGGTAAAGCCTACCAAAGGGCAGGCTGCTCCAGCCTTTTTGTTGTCAGCAGGTGTGGAGGGAGACACTGTGTGTGGGCTAGGTAGTAGGGATGTCTCTGGTTCCCTTGTCAGAGGGTGCTTTCAGATGAACCATAGACACAGCTTTCTGATCCTTTTCTTTCATCAAAATGGCACAGAGGAACTCCATGGGAACTAAAAGCTCACCTGGGCGTTTATTTTTTCTTTTTAACTTTTAGAAGGATTAGCACAGATTTATGTTTGAGAAAGCAGGCTAGTTCCAATCTAAAGTGCAGGATAATTCCCTCTAGTTCCCAGGAGGATAACATCATAATCCATTATTAGTTGTGCCAGTTACAGTTATTTCCTTCCCACATTTCCTTTTAGGTGTCAGACTAGAATGCAATTGCTTTTCTTCCTAAGAGCACTATTTTTAAATCTGAAGAATTGAATGTTATTAATATAGTAGGTGTTGTACTGTGCAGCCCATTCTATAATGGGGTGTTTATAGCACCAGTGCTCTTACCCAGTCCATTTGTAATCAGAAGTAATAGCACCACTTCACCACTTGCTCCGCTTGAAGACACTGCAATAAATTCCAATGAACCATAGCTTGGCTGCAGCTGGTGACTGATGTAGAAGCTTTGTGCATTTTTACTTCTTTAATGTTTATAGCTCTTTTACATTATATGAATATTGCCAGTCCTGAGGATTCAGCTGTAATGAATCAAGTCTCAAAAACTAATGAGATTTTACAAATGTGTT